TTAGACAGGATTTTTCCTTTAATGGTTGGAAACATGCCGTTGGATTGTGAGTGATTATGCAATGTGCCAAGGTGAATTCAAGATTACTTTCGATGATCAAAATCGACAGAAAACTTGAAGAAATGAACGCTTGAATTTTTTTCAAAGGAATTGACTATCAGAAACTTATCGGCCAACAATTCATGTCCTGAAGGTTAATTATATTTTCGTTTTTGAGCCTTGGAACTTGGTTGGATTTTATGATCAGTCTTCAATTGCTTGAAGATGTAATTGACGACTCAGCATGGCTTTCCTATTATCCTTGTAGTTCCACAGCATGGGAACCACATACCGGCCACTTGGGTTGTATTCATTCATTTCACGGAAGGCTGTAGTAACTGCATCATAAATTTCGTCCCCCCATTCTCATCCTCAAGGTTTCTGAGCAATTCATCATCTTCATTCAATATTTCCTACGTGGTTTAGCAAGAGTTTAATATATAATATTCAAATGGTTCTCAGCTAACCATACATTCGAATCCATTGTAACAAAATTCAAAAGAGCAACAAATTTCAACAAGTTTAATATATAATACCTTGAACCTTGGTACATGTAAACTAAAGTGTGTGTAAACTATGTTGTACACTTTAGTTTACATTTTATCACGTGTTATTATCCTATTGAACAGTTTAAATTTCAAACAATTTTTTTCATCCAATTAACGCTTAACAACAATGCAGTGTTTTTGAAAGTGTCAAAAAATCAGTGTACAAATAGTAATTTTCTATTACCTCAAGTCTCCACGGATCTACTGAAAGTGAAGAATTTAAAAAATATATAGACAGAAGCAAGCTTAGATCATTGAACCCACCTGGGGATTTCCCTTATCATCTGTGGTGACTTTGACGGGGTACCATTGAGGATTTTTCAATTTTTCTTGCCATAGGAAGCAAAGTTCGAGGCCTTTATCTCATATTGCATGCATTCTTGAACACTTTCTCATCGACTTCTCCCATCAATTATTGCTTCTAAGAATTTTTACTCACTGGCCTCAGATCAGGGGTGAATCTAGAAGTTTAAGTTAGTGTGAGCGGCCGTTAACCGTCTAGCATCGGCTACAATAAAATATTAAGAGTCCTTTCGTTACCCATTTTTTTGCAAAAAAATGCATTTTGGAATAGTGATTTGATCGAGAATGTGTGGCTAAAAATTAAAAAAGTTTTGAATTTGCATGTAATATTATTTTGTTGAAGAATGTGTGTTTGAAAAGAAGAGATAAAAAATGTATTGTAAAAAAAAATGGGAATCAAACAAAGCATAAAGTTTGAATATAACAATTATTTTGTTCAAATTGAACATATATAATTCTATTATAAGAATAAACCGAACTCATCAAATGATATTGTTGCCATGTTTTGTATAATTTAAAGGAATCTTTACAACTATACTTGCATTAAGACAATTAAAATCTAACAAATATTATTTTGTTAAATTTAGTGTCAAAATTCAAGAAGCGCCATAATGGTCAACTTGAGGTCGAGGTAATAAAATAACACATTAACAAGCATTCATAAACAGGAAAGCAAGATCCTCAAAATTTTCCTCTATCTTATGGAGATATTGCTGGGGCAAATGGACAGGTATGTTTGTTCTGATATTCCAGCAAACAAATTTCAGGGCAAGCCTCCAGATTGGCAGGATTTTGTTGGTATAGCGGTTTTACTGTTCATCAACTCCAACATAAGCGAACAATGCGGGAAATACTGCAGGCGGCGCTAATGGCAGGCCTTGCACCAAAGACAAGTATTGAAAACACCATGTCCCATTTTCTTGGTTTTCAACTGAGAATTTATGCAAAAGTCCTGAGAGACAGCAGATGGTCTGAGGCGATCTTGGTACCAGGAGATATCATCAGCATCAAGAGTTGGGAGATATAATCCCAGCAGATTGATCAATCTGCATTCACAGGCATTCGAATCATTGCCTGCCAGTAACTAAAAGCCCTGGGGATGAAGTGTTTTCAGGCTCCACTTGCAAACAAGGAGAGATTGAGGAGGCAGTTGTTATTGCCAGTGGGATCAATACGAAAACTACTCATCTTGTCAACAGCACTCATTCAGAAGGTATTTTTGACATTAATCATAAACTTGTATCACATATAAATTTTGTCTGTTAGTTGCTGGACATCATGAATTTACCTCAGTTTTTCACCTGTTTAGCTTTTCTGATTTGTATTGTACTTGTACGAACATATATAATTGATGTGATTAGGTGTTGACTGCCATTTTGCATATGCTCCATTGCATTGGGGATCATAATAGAGATAGTACAGAGATGGAATTGACAATCTTCTAGTTCTTTTCATTCCAATTGCCATGCCAACAGTGTTATCTGTGACTATGGCCATTGGATCCCACAGGTTATCACAGCAAGGTGCTTTCACCAAGAGAATGACTGCTATTGAAGAAATGGCTGGAATGCTTACCCTAAACAAACTCACAGTGTGAGTCGACAAAAATTTAATTGAGGTTTGTAAAGTTGATATAGAAAGAATGAGATCAAAATTTTTTAGCACTATTTCTGTTAATAAATTAATACACTCCCTTATCATGGAAGTAGTGTTTTGCAAAGGATGTGGACAAAGAAACGGCACTTCTTCTTGGGGCTATTGACGCTTGCATTTTTGGGAAAGAAGTACCAACACTTTTTGCAGGGCTAGATATTCTTATAACAATTACTATGATCAATCTGTTATTACAGGTTATCCGTTACTATTTTTATAAAATCTTTACTTTTGTTTCCAGGCGAGAGCAGGAAGTGCATTTCCTTCCCGTTAATCCGGTGGATAAGCGCACAACTATTACTTATTTAGACAGCAATGGTAATTGGCACAGAGTTGGCAAAGGGGCCCTGGACAGGTAAATTACGTAAATTCCAGACTATTATTTGCCTAATACAAATTCTCTACAAAACAGGTCGTGGAGCTTTGTGGCCTAAAGGAAGATGTGAAGAAGAAAGTTCACTCCATTGTCAATAAGTTTGCTGTAGAGAATTTCTTTATGTATGTAATTGATTGTTGAGTTTCGAACCGGTTACCTCACACTTATTAAGTTGTGCTTCCAAAATATGTTGAAGTCGTGTTTTTGATCTTACAACTTCATTAGTGGAGAGACTAAGCTGGATCACGACACCTAGCAACATGGAGGCCGTTTGATTATTTTCTAGAGACTTCTACCTATAAGTCTCGTGACTGACCGTTCAGTTGATATAATTTTTGAAAGAAATTTTCATTTTTGAAGTCCGGTTCTTTCTCTCTCTTTCTCTGCGTGAGAAACCCCATTTTCTTCGTGATCTAGGGTCCTATTTCTTGAGTGATTGCAGTGATTCAATGTTTGTGAGGCATATTACATACTGTAAATCGAAGGAGAGTGGTGCTATTGTGTAGTGTTTTTATGAATTTGTGTGATTCATTGTGAGCAGTCCGGTGCATATGAGATCTGTGTGATCTGTGGTTGATTCCTTCATGGTTTCGTAGTTTCCTTTGTGGTTCTTATAGAAGATAAGTCTTCGTGGCTTAGTCTTTGTGACTTACCGAACATTTGTGTAATCTTGTTGCCGATTTTTGGGCATTATAGTGTAACCGAGCTGTATCCATTGATAGTGGATGCTCAACAGGGGATTAGGCACTCATGCTGAACCTCTGGGGCTTCGGCCGGAAAAAATCCTTTGTGTTCATTATTTCTGCACTTTTATTTTCTGCATTTCTTGGTTCGGTTTCTATGAATGTTAGTTAATCCTGTGTGTCTCGACATTTCAGTAGTATCAGAGTTTCTTAGAATATTGAGGACACCTGGTTCTTGAGGAAACCGGATTCTTGAAATCTGCCTTCAACCTGCAATTAACATGGGTGGTGGAATTTTATTTTTTTTTCTTTTGAGTTTTATCAAACTCATTAGTGAGATCTTTCCTGCTTTCTGTAATTAATTTTACATTAGTGTCTCCTGCTATTTCCCTTGATTTACCTTGTACTATAAAATCTCACGTGGCTGGTCTTTGTCCAAAGACTCAATAAGTCTTGGGAATCTGAGATAACAACACGTTGAGGAGTGCAATTGGAAAGTCTTGTTGGAGAAGGCAGTTGAGGCATAGGACTAGAAATCTCTGTTCTCTATGAATCTACCACTTATACTTAGTGTGAAGTGTTTACTTATTGGATAAAAGTGCATAAGTGCATTGTTGGATTGACCCCTGATCCCCTAATCTGTCTACAGTCCCCACATTGTATATCCCTGTGTGTTCTTGAGATCAAACTTGTGTGCTGTGTATTAACTTGGTGTTTCTTACAATGGCGGCCACTGCTAAGTTTGAAATGAGCATGTTTGATGGGAGGGGGGATTTTAATATGTGGAGTCAGAAAATGAAAGCTATTTTGATGCAACAAAGGTGTGCTAGAGCCCTAGATAATTCTTGGCCTGCTGAGTTACCTCCTGGTAGAAGAACTGAGTTAGAAGAAACTGCTTGGAGTACTATTTTCTTATATCTTTCAGACAATGTGATCAGAACTATAGGAGAAACTAAAACTGCTTTTGAATTGTGGAACAAATTGAAAGCTCAATATGAACCAAAAACTGTTCCAAACAAATGTTTTTTGCTAAAACAATTCTTTTCTTTCAAAATGGATCCATCTGTTGACTTAGAAGAAAACTTGAATAGGTTTACAAAGTTGACCCAAGATCTAGCCAGCTGTGATGAAAAATTATCATAAGATCAGTTGGTTGTGGTCTTGTCGAACTCCATTAGTGATAGGCATAGAGACCTAGAGAATGCCTTGGAATATGGTAGAGAAAATCTTACCACAGACATCATAACAAATGCCTTAAGAAATAGGGTTCTTGAATTAAAATCAGATTCTATTAACCAACAAAGCGGAAAAAATCTTTTGTTAAAGGGCAAGAATATTGGTACATCTAATTTTCATTCAAAGTTTCAAAATAACCCTAGAAAAATGAAATTTGACAAAATGAAATCTAAATATAAGGTAAAGGGAAAGAAACGTTACTACTGCGGTAAGTTGGGTCACTTTGCTAAAGACTATTATAAAAAGCAAAATGATTTGAAAGAAAAGAAGATAAGTGAAGGTAACAATGTCATACCCTATGATAAACAAAATGTGAACTATGGCCTGGTTCTTGTAAATGTTGAAAGGAACCTAAATCAAGAATGGATTCTTGATTCAGGTTGCTCTTTCCACATATGCCCTAACAAAAACTATTTTTTGGATCTTGAACAAACAAAAGGTGGCCAAGTTATCATGGGAAATAACATGACCTACAAAGTAAAGGGTACTGGAACAATAAAACTACTTCTGAAAAATGGCAAAATTTTACTTTTAAAGAGTACCAGATTTGTTCCTGAATTAGAAAGAAACCTAGCGTCTCTAGGAATGTTGAATGACATGGAGTTTGACATAAAATTGGATCAAGGACAGATAAAATCTTTAGGGATAGTGATTTAATCACTTCTATCCCAAAGAGACATGATTTATACTTTCTAAATGCAAAACCTTTACTTAGACTTTCAGCAACAGTTTTAGATGATAAAAATAATCTTGCAAAATTATGGCATTGTAGACTTGGTCACATTGGGTTGAAAGGGTTAAAGGCATTACATAATAAAGGTGTATTTGGAAAACTAAACATTGGTGACTTGTCTAATTGTGAACAATGTTTGGTAGGAAAACAAGTTAAGTTACCTTTTCCCGCGAGTACTCATAAATCAAAGCAAAATCTATAATATTTACATGCTGATTTGTGGGGTCCTTCATCTACCCCTACATTATCTGGTTATAAATATTACTTGTTGATTGTTGATGATTTTCCAAGGAAAATTTGGGTTTTTCTATTAAAAATCAAAGATGAAACTTTTACTATTTTTAAAGATTGGAAAACTCAAATTGAAAATCAAATTGACTTGAAAATCAAGACTTTAAGAACAGACAATGGTCTAGAATTTTGCAACTATGAGTTTGATAATTTCTGTAAAGAACATGGCATTTTAAGACACAAAACTGTATCCTACACACCTAGGGGTGGGCGCGGGTCGGTTCGGTTTGGTTCTAAAGAGAATCGAACCGAACCAAAATTTTCAGGTATTTAGTAAATGGAACCGTCGGGTCCAAATATAATTATAGAACCGTTCCGGTTCGGTTCCGTTCGGTTTCGTTCGGTTCGGTTCTGTACTATAATTAAAAATTTTCACATTTATAACAACATTATATAAATACAACTAATGACACTTTCAATGGTTTTGAAATGTCAGAGACTAGTAGACTACCTTGTTAAAATGATCGCTACGGTCAAAATTTCGATTGGCAGAGGTCACAGCGTCGATCAACGATCGTATAGGTTTTGGAATGTCAGCGAGGCTGTGAGAGTCGAGACAGCGTTATGCACTTTAGTATAGGTGTTTAGGGTTATTTAATGAGTTGGATCTTGTTGGGCTAAGAAATGAGACAATAAAATGGGTAATTGGGCCAAAAATTAACAAATTAGAAATGAAACAAATTATTGGGCCAAAAATTTGAATTTATGATTTGTTAATTTGTTTAGAAAAAATTAAAATTAAAATAATTTGATTTATTCAATATTAAAAAAATTAGAAAGATTTGGTTTTTCGGTTCTTGGTTTAGAACCGAGAACTGAACCGTACAGTCGGTTCTCAATTCAGATACCCGTTCGGGCATTTAATTTGACAAGAACCATCGGGTTCGATTTGGTTCGCGTTCGGTTCGGTCAGTTCGGTTCGGGAGATTTGCCTAGCCCTATACACACCCCAACAAAATGGCATTGCAGAAAGAATGAATATGACTATATTAAATAAAGTTAGATGCATGCTTTTAAGTTCAGGCCTGCCCAAATTATTTTAGGGTGAGGCTGTAAAAACTGCTACATATCTGATTAATCAAAGTCCTACAAGTGCTTTAAACTATGATGTGCCTGAATCTGTGTGGACACAAAAGCCTGTTACTTATTCTTATTTGAAAACATTTGGTTGTGCTGCATTTACTCATCAAAATATAGGAAAACTTGAACCTAGATCTGTAAAGTGTGTGTTTTTGGGCTATGCTGAAAATGTTAAAGGATATAGGCTGTGGGTTTATGGGGAAAAGGGTTATAGAGTAATAATAAGGAGGGATGTGGTCTTTAATGAATCATATATGCCATGTTTGGAAGGGAAGAAAGGGAACTTAACTGAAAATGATGTCCAAATTGAGGTGGAGCCTACTAAAATTGATGATATCAGTTCTGCCCCTCTAGAAACTGAATGTACAGAGGCTGACCAGAATGAGAATGAGCCTGATTTGACTGAATCTGATCAAGGTGATGACTTAATTCCACCCCTAGATGAGTACCAGCTCACTACAGATAGGGATAGAAGGCAAATTAGACCACCTGCTAGGTTTAATAGTGATGACTTTGTGTCTTTGTTCACTTACCAAGAAGATATTGAATCTGAACCTAGTTCCTAACGTGAAGCCTTGAAATCTAAAGATTCTAAGCGGTTGTTGAGTGTTATGGAAGAAGAAATGTCTTCCTTATACAAGAATGAAACTTGGAAATTGGTTGACAAACCAAAGGATAAGAAACTAGTTGATTGCAAGTGGATTTATAAAATAAAGGAAGGAGAAGGTGGCACTAATAATGTTAGATATAAAGTTAGACTAGTTGCCAAGGGTTTCACACAAAAGGAGGGTGTGGACTATGATGATATTTTTTCCCCCGTGGTCAAATATACAACTATAAGATGTATTCTTACTTTAGCTGTGCAATTTAAATGGAAACTTGATCAACTAGATGTAAAAATTGCTTTTCTTTATGGTGAATTGAATGAAATTATCTACATGAATCAGCCTTTAGGATTTATAAAAGGAAATCCTGAAAAAATTGTGTGTTTGCTGAAAAAATCTTTATATGGCCTAAAACAAGCTCCAAGACAATTGTATAAAAGATTTGATTCATTTGTCTTGAAACTTGGGTTTAGTAGAAGCAATTATGATACATGTCTTTATTGTAAAGGAAGTGGTGGTAAAGATTCTTTGTATCTTGTGCTTTATGTTGATGATATGCTTCTTGCTAGTGCTAATAAAGCTGAAATTGATGATATCAAACACAAACTAAAATCAGAATTTGATATGAAGGATCTTGGTTCTACTAGGAAGATACTTGGCATGCATATTGAAAGAGATGAAAAATCTGATTGCTTGTTTTTATGTCAAGAAGAATATGTGAATAAGATCCTTAAGAAGTTTAATATGTTTGATTGTAAGCCTGTGACTTTAATCCTTTGCTAATCACTTTATTCCAACATCTGATTCATGCCCTAAAACTGAAGATGAACTTGAAAGAATGTCTAAAATACCTTATGCCAATGCTCTTGGTTCAGTCATGTACTTAATGATTTGCACCAGACCTGATTTGGCATTTAGTATTAGTGTTTTGAGTAGATTCATGGGGAATCTTGGTGAAACACATTGGGAAGCCTTAAAATGGTTAATGAGATACTTAAAAGGTTCATCCAACCTAAGTTTGATGTTTAAAATGGATAAAGAGGGGATAATTCTAAAAGGTTATACATATTTTGATTTTGCTTGAAATAGAGACAATAGGAAATCCACTTCATCTTATTTTTACACTTTGTGTGGCACTGTGATAAGCTGGAAATCTCAGTTGCAGAAAATTGTTGCTCTATCTTCCACCGAGGCTGAATATATTGCAGCCACTGATGCCATCAAAGAAGGCATTTGGCTGCATGGTTTGCTAAATGAACTTGGTTTTGTAGATATTAATCCAATTCTGTTTTCTGATAATCAAAGTGCAATACATTTGAGTAAAAATCCAATGTTCAACAATAGAACAAAACACATTGATGTTAAATACCATTTTATAAGGGAT